ATACAAAAACATTAATAAAAAGAAATGTACAAACAGAAATAATCAAATCAGATAGATAAGGTATAGAAAAATTAATGAAATTTATTTAAGATGAATTTCTAGGAGAAAATTGGACGAGAAATGCTGAAAATGAATCAATAAGAGAAAAGGATAATGCTAGAATAAAATTAATAAATTTAACAATATGTTATATGTGTAAAATTAAAAAGTATACTTGTGAATTTAAAAATTACTATTATATTCAATTTTATAGTAATGAAAATCAAAAAGTATACCAAAACATGTATTATAATAAGTTACCAGGTTCATGGGGAATGTATTTTAAAATAAAATTTGAAAAATACGTTAGAGATATAGAATATAGAGTTTTATACACATTTACCAATTCTAAAAAATAGAATTTGGATTAAAAAATTACGTTTACATGTTATCCAAAATATTGTGTATCGTTAAAAGATAAAAAATTTAATGAGGTTTTAGGACTACATTTCAAGTTTCATAGAGATGATATTATGCAACCAGGTGATCAAATTATGACTATAGAATATAGAGTTTTATACACATTTACCAATTCTAATTATGGAAATATTTATTCCAATAAACCATATATTGAAGTTCATAAAGAATGTAAAGATATTAGTAAAATAATAAAACCAAATAAAAAAATAAGTTGATTTTCAGAAGAATATGAATTTAATATAACAAAAAATGAACCTAAAATAATAGAATTAAATGAAGGAGAATGTTCTAATAACATAACATCTAAGGACAAAAAATTATTTAAAAGATCAAAAAGTTTTAAAATACCTAATAAAAACCAGTTGGAAGAAATCAACAAAATAAAATGAGTAAAACTGTATAGGAATGCTGGAAATATGAAAATAGAGGGAGAATATTATAATGGTAGATAAAATATAAATTGACCAAATATATTAATAGATACATGAGCTAATGAATGTCATATAGTTTCAATTAGAAACAAATGATTAATAACTCATAAAACTGAACCGTATAAGTATGTAAATTTTGATGGACAAGTACATATAACAGATTTAAAAGTAAAAGTACCAATAAAAATAGGAGGAATGCATCTTTTAGTATCATGTTATATAGATAGAAGTATAGATATAAACCCTCATATACTTTTAGGAATGAGCTTTCTAAACGAATTAGAAAATTATAGTATAAAAAAAGAATGATTGTATATTGTTCATAATGGACAAATTACCTTATCTAAAAAGAATTAGATGAATAATCAAATAAGTTTTTCATTAGCTGTATATTTACAAATTACTATTGTAAAAACAAATATAACAACTTGTGCTTTAATAGATACAGGAAGTGATATAACAATATTTAAATTTTTTTTAATAAAATTATGGAATAATAATAGTAATATAAAAATAACTGGTGTTATAGGAGAAAATACTTAAATAATTAATAGTGCTGATATAATTAATATAATTATTGGAAGTAAACAAATAATGATAAATATAATTTATAAATATAATAAATTAGAATGTATATATTATTAGGAAACGATTTCATACAACAATTTCAATTTTATAAACAAAATAATTACACGATAATACTACAAACACCTCGTGGATACTTATTAAAAATTCTTAGAGAATTTAAACCTTATAGAGTTTAGCCAGCCCAACGTGGTGATAAATGGGAGAAAAAATCAATTCTTGATAATGGAATAAAAAATAAAAGAATATTATATAAAAATGTTCAAAAAACAAGAATAGAAATAAATATAGAAAAAATCATAGATCAATTAGAAAATGTTTATGAAGAAAATTCATTATTATTTTGGAAACCATATCACCCGAAAGCTAAAATAGAATTAACAGAAAATGTTATAATAAGAGTAAGACCAATGATGTTTACAATAGAAGATACACAAGAATTTAAAAATCAGATAAAAGAATTATTATAACAAAAACTTATTAGACCTAATAATGGACCTCATAGTAGTCCAACCTTTGTGGTTATGAAACACTCTGAACAAGTTAGAGGAAAAGTTAGAATTGTTATAAATTACAAAGAATTAAACAAATATACTAAATTTGATGATTACTTTCTACCAAATAAAGAACTACTAATAAATCTTGTAAGATGAAAACAATATTAATCCAAATTTGATTGTAAATCAGGATTTTGGCAAGTAAAAATGGAAGAAGATAGTATACCATATACTGCATTTAGCACACCTCAAGGAAAATATGAATGGTTAGTTATGCCATTTGATTTGAAAAACGCACCACAAATATATCAAAGAAAGATGGATAATATATTTAAAAAATTTAATGAATTTCTAATAGTTTATATTGATGATATATTAATTTGTTCTAATAGTAAAGAGGAGCATAGAAATCATTTAATCCAATTTATTAATAAATGTAAAAAAGAAGGAATTGTACTATCTAAAAAGAAATCTATAATAGATATTAAAAACAGATTTAAATGAAATATGCAGATATTCAAGTGGAACTTTTAATCAAGCAGAAATAAATTATACTACTCATGAGAAAGAATTGTTAGCAATTATTAGAGGAATAAAAAAGTTTTCATTATTTTTATTGTCCAAAAAATTTATTGTTGAAACTAATAATTCTCAAGTTGTAGGATTAGTCAAGAATAAATTACCATCAGAACCTCAATACAGAAGGCTTCATAGATGACAAGCTTATTTAGTATTTTATAATTTTGATATTAAATGAGTTAATAATTTTCTTGCAGATTTTCTCAGCAGAAACATAGAATTTGCTGATGGATAAAGCCAATGCTATAGAATTATACCAATCTATTATACATATACAAAAAAGGACAAATTTTCTTAAAGAAGAATATGAAGATATAAGTTATGGAGCTACCCAGATTTCGGAGATGTTCAACTCAAATATGAAAATATTGTATAATATCACTATTGAGCATCATAAATATACCATAGAACTCAAAAATCAAGTTAATGCTATTGTAGCATAACTAAAAAATATACTGTTTGAAACAGATATACCAAAGAGCTCAGAAATGAGTTTTTCAAATCAATACCAAATAGGGACAACTGGAAGCAGCAGTGGACCAAGACATGGCAACGTACCAACTCATAATAAAAGAGATTCCATTTCTGTATCATCAACCAAGAAAGTTATGATACATGGAGATAAAAGAGATACCAAAACAATCAGCATCATAAACCAAAATGATAAAATCCCTTTAGATCCAAACGAAGAAAAATATGCCGAAATAGTCAAAATCTCTTATGAAATAAAAATAAATGATTCATATTTCATTTCTCCAAAAAATAATTTTTACCCCAGAATAACAGCCATGGAAGGAGGTGACCCTTCATTTATAAAAATCATGACAGATTATGGATTCATGGATTTGATTTATCTAGGAAAAGATTTTATTGAAATTTCAAAGTTTGATGACATGTTCATTAAAGAAGTATCAAGATTTGCCAAGGAAATGAAGATATTTTTAAAATTCTATTCAATCGGTCCAGAATATGATGGAGTTGTAAACTATCCAGTTGAACACATAATCTCAATTGGATATGTTGCAGCCAATTTCCAAATTGATGTTACAGAGAATAATAGAAAAATCTCAAAAGTGACAAAATCATGGATCAGACATAGAAGAACACTTGGAATTAAAACTATCTACAACATTGCCAAAAATTTGTTTAATAAAAAATTCTCGTGCCTGTGCCAATATGAAAATTGGATGTTGGTGTCTAATGGAGGATATGCAAAATCAGAAATTTTAAAAGATTATATTACAAGATTTGATATACATCAATTTTCAAGATATCCTACCACTATAAAAGAATCCTGCTAACTAAGGGAGTGCCCCAACTGCATGTAAAGAAATAAAAGAAGAAGACAAAGCACCTTTTGACAAAGGTGTATGAAGGACAATAATACTACATGTGAAGACATTGAAGATACAGAGCAATAATAGAAAAAGATGCTCTTTGGATAGAAAAGTTGAACCAACATGTGAAGATGTAAGTTCAAGGAAGAAAATAGAGACACAAGAGTGCCTTTGCTGATGTAATCAATGATGTAATAGAATTTCATAAACTTGTATAAATAGAGGCATTACCACAGTAGAAAATCATCTCATCTTATCTTAAATTCTCGAGCTGTAAGCAAGAGCCCATTCTCAGTTTGAAAAACCAATTTTTCTGGAAATCCCTTCATACCAAATAAAAGTCTTATATCAATCTGATAGAAATAAAATTCCAATATTTTGATATCAATATGAATTTCTAAATCTTTGTTTCATATATTCTTGAAAGATATAATAGAGAGTTTCCTTCTTATTTTAGCAAAAAGAGAGTTTCTTTAATAGAAATCTAGAATTTTATTCTTTAGAAGTTGATACAGTAAGAGCAAGTAGTTGAAATAGTAACAATTCCACGAAAGCAGGAGGCCGTTGAAGGAAGCAATTTACAAATTCAGAGCTCGAAGATCACTCGATTCTAAGAATACAAGTCTAGATCAAATCTAAGGTAAAACTATTAAACTTTTGCTAAAATTAAAATGATTCTTTTTAAGATCTTAAAAGAATCGTTGGGACAATTGCATGATGATTATTTTGATAAATGTCAGAATATACAGTTGAATGATTAGATAATTTATTAGAAAGAATGTTAGAAGAAATAAAGAATATTATATCTCAATTAAAAAATACAAATTTACCATTTGAAGAATATAATACTTTAATTAAAAAATATGAAATGAATGTTGCAGATTATTCTTATTTATTAGATTATAAAATAATTTTATATTTAAATATCTAAAATTGAGTAAATCGAGGATAAAATGTTTAAAAGATTAGAATATATATTGTAATATAGAAAGAATCATTTTATTAATTTAATATAGACATTTTTATAAAAAAAAGGAATGGTAAAATAAAAAATTTATAAAAAAAAGGAATGGTAAAAAAAAAAAATCCCCCCCCCCCCCCCCCCCCTTCTCTCTCTCTCTCTCTCTCTCTCTGGTGTCGAAATTACTACTTGCATATTTTCGGGTAATTAAAGTGTAACAATGGCGAACAGGACGGACCCGCTGGCGAAGAGCATAAGGGGGACGAACCCGCAGAATCTGGTGGAGAAGATAGTGCGTTTAAAGATATACCAGAACTCCTGCTGGAAGGAGCAGTGCTTTGGACTTACCTCCGAGACCCTTGTTGACAAGGCCATGGAGCTCGACCACTTGGGTGGTACTAATGGCGGCAACCACAAGCCCACCCCCTTCTCGTGTCTCGTAATGAAGATGCTTCAGATCCAACCGGACAAGGAAATCGTTGTCGAATTTATTAAAAACCCCGAATACAAGTAATCTGCCCCATTAATTTTTTTATTATTTTTTTTAACTTAGAAAATTAATTGATTGACCCTTATTTTGCTGTAGGATAATTGATTGTTTGTTAAACTAATGTTACTTCGATTTTGATAAATTGTCGTAACCATGCATGTGAAAAAGGCAATTCTGTTTTTTGTGATTCTTTTTCCTGTGTGCGATTAAATATTGTTTTTGTACATATTTGAGTTTAATAGGCTTCATTCCATGGTATGCTAGAGCAGCGTTCATTGATTTTGCATTCTTCTAACCTTGCAATCTGTCTTCTGTGTATTTTTTCCTGTGATATCATTGTATATTTGATTCCCGGGGTTAAGCATTCTATTGCTATTATTATTTTTTTTTCCCTTCATTTACTTTATAAGAATGACAAATGCATTTCTCAGGACTGATTGAAATTACTGTCTCGTAACAGATTTCGGGCACTTGGAGCTTTTTATTTGCGTCTTACAGGGACAGACATTGATGTTTACCGTTACCTGGAACCTCTGTACAATGATTACCGAAAGCTGCGGCTCAAATCGTCTGATGGGCGTAAGTCTTAGCTCTCTTGAGTATGATCTTTGTACAGAATATAGTTTGTATCATGCTAATGTTATGCTTCCCTTGCTTCAATGTATCAGGCTTCACCTTGACACATGTTGATGAGATTATTGATGAACTTCTGACAAAAGATTATTCTTGTGATATTGCATTGCCACGGATCAAAAAAAAGGTATCAGAAACCTGATTTTTGGGCAAGTTTGACGCTAGTCTTATTGTTTCTAGGCTTCCTCTAGTCTGACATAATTCATTTGATTTATTTTGATTCTAAGAATTGTTTCACTGGCAAGGATTACCCTATTTTCAGATTTTGTTCCCCCACCCCCCGGTTTTGTTTTATATGGAACCTTAGCTTCGCGCTTATTTGGTTTTACAATGGCCGTTCTTTCTAGTTTTCCTTTATTGTGACTTAAAGCATGTTCAGCTAAGTTTAAAAGGCTTACTTAGCCCCTGATTAGTAAGGATTAAGATGTAGATTTTAATTCAAGAATTAATTTTAATAACAGATTTCATGGGGATGCTACTTTTGGACCACGCATTTCATCAACTTATATCAAAATCTATTTTAATCCCTACCAAAGAAGGGCTTATTAGTAAATAAGTTTTAAAATAAATAAATATTTATTGGTCAAAGTTTTTAATTTAATATTTTAAAAAAGAAAGTTATTAGAGCATGTTATAAGATAAATTTGGCCAAACAAACTTATAATTCATGGGTTGTTTTATTTTGATTTCTAAGAATTGTACGTGGAGGTTAGAATTGCTCCATTTTTTTATTTTTCTCCTCTAAAAACTATTTATGTGCATAATGTAATATTAAAAAATATATATGTGTGTGTGTGTATTTAAAAATCCTCATATCTCATCCCAGAAGTCCCACCTCATGTGCTGTCGAATTTGGTTTTATTCTTTGCTCTTAATTTTAAAGTTCTGGCTAATTAAAAGAATCCCATCGATCCCATTGTACTCATAGTTACAGTCTGATCTACAACACTGATCAAGGCAGTAATTTATTTGGTTACAAGTTTATACCTCCAGCTTCTTCCTGTCCTTTTATGATAGAGAATGAATTTACCTGGGGATAAAAACTGCTGGTTATTTATGCCACATGGTAAGCACAATAACTTTTGTCAGTGGATTGCTGTCCCATGTAATTCGTAGCATTATCAATTTCCTCATATTGTCTAAATGATCTGTGTTAAGTATATATTAGGATCTCCAATTGTTGTACCAAAAGCGACATTTTATTCTAGTGTGAATTATTACTGAGACTCAGTAGACAAATAGACCATCCTTGAAAAACTAGTAATTAATTGAATTGGTTCTTTTAGTTGACGAGAACTCTGATGGATGCTTTTTCTAATATTCTATATCTACATGCTTTATAATTGTTTTGATTCGAAATTATTCCTTTTGATTTACTGTTTTCTCCTCCATTATCACCTTCTTTTGCTTTTTAATCTTCACAGATCGTACTCTTATGTTAGTACGTACTTATATCTACTCATTTTGTTCTGCTAGAATGACTCTTGAAGCTATCGATACACTGGAACCTAGAAGAAGTGCTCTTGAAGATGATTTTGAGGAGGAGGAAGATAAGGATGAAGATGACCAACTTGCAACTGGATTAGATTCTGGCAGCCATGACAAGGTTCAGCTCATGTTACGTTTTCTATTTTTGTAGTTATGTCATACAAGATTGTTTACTGGCTTGATTTTATTTGTTTTGCTCTTGTGCAACAGGATTACTATGGTGGACGAAGTCCAACTAGAGAAAGAGATCGAGATAGAAAACGAGACAGTCACAGATACAGGTATGATTTTCTCTGTATATATCTATTTTTGTCCCCTCTAGTTGTTTATTTAGAAACAATCTTATATTAAAGAAAGACTGCTATCCCTATTAGTTGTGTGGTGATTGCCATCTTGATAATTCTCAATTTCTTAAAGGATTTTTTTTTTAAAAGATGGTAAAGCAGTTAACGTTGAAATTGCTGGGATTGTTTTCTTTAACCCATTTTCATGTTCACACAGTTTGTTAATGGCTGTTTTCTTAACTAGCTATAGTTTCTTCACATTAGTAGTTGAAATCTCTATTTTTTTTCCTATTATTTTGCATACCTGATACCCCGTTATTATGCATGATCTGAATCACAAGGTCGGAACCGTTTGTGTTTGGCTCTATTTTATATTTGTTTATGATTTGATTTCTGCTGTTTTTGTATTTTATTTCAGTAGGAGAGAGATAAAATAAAATAGAACTGTTGAATGGTTAAGGAATAGCCTAATGATTATTCTCAAGACTGTATTTCTCTCTTTTGTTGAGGGCTGAAGAAGATGCATTCTTTTTCATCTAATAAAAGGAAATGTGAAGTTCTATGTTTTTGGTATATCAGATATTCCTTGCGTTATGTTGATGCAAGATTTTATTTCTGGTAACTAGAAACTTGAAATGAGTTTGTAGGTCAAGAAGTGCATCTTGCTCATAGTCTTACCCTTGGTATAGAGATGTAAAAGATGAAATCAGCATTGGCATTTCATGTTATGGTTGCATTATGAGCGATACATTGAGGTGGAAGCTGTCATTTGAACCTCCAACACGTTTACAACCTATCACTTGTGCACACGCGTGCACACACACATCTAATGGTTTTCTGAGCACGATGGCATTTGAAGCCATCGGTGGCTTATGACAGCATCCTAGAGCAATATTTTATGATCCTGCCAGGTTTCTCTGCACTGGCAGTGTGCAGCTGAGAAGTATGATGGATCAGACAGTTCTACTGCAGTAAGGGTAGCAGTATTTTCTGCAAGATGTTCCTCTTATTTAGTTGTTCACCTCAACCTTCTCTTATTGTTGTTTCTGCTCTTTTTTTAATGATTTCTACTCTATCCTTACCCTTTATCAAGTTCTCCCATGAGTAAAAACTTCAAAGTTTCTCCCATTTTCTAGTAGGTCTGGATAAAGTGTTCAAGAATCTTGGATTGATATTCATGATGGTTTGTCCAAATTGTCGTGCAAGACATTAGGTGGCAAAATATGTTATTTGGTGAAACTGGTCACATAATTTTTGTTACAAAATGTGGACCATATTTCATTCTTTTTTTAGCTGACCTGACGGCCGATGTACACTTGCAGGGATAGAGATTATGACAGGGATCGTGGAAGAGGGCGTGACAGAGATAGAGAGAAAGAAAGGGATCGCCATCGCCTAAGAGAAGACAAGGAATATGGTCACGAAAGGGACAGGGAAAGGGATAGGGAGCGGGACAGGCGGCGTGGCAGACGGAGGAGCCGGAGCAGAAGCAGAGATCACAAGGATCGTTATGGCGATGAGCGTCACAAAAGGCATGCTCGTATGAGCGCAAGCCCTAAGAAGCGCGGGGAGGGACCTGATGTTGAGCCAAAAAAGAAGAAAGAAAAGAAGGATGATGGAACAGATCATCCAGATCTGGAGATAGCAGAAGCAAATAGGCTCAGGGCATCCCTTGGGTTGAAGCCTCTCAAGATGTGACTTGTGATAATGAATGGTCTACATGTTTTAAACTACGTCCCTAGCACCCCCCCACTCCCCCGCCCCCCAAAAAAAAAATGAAAAAAAAAGAAAGTAAAAATAAAATAAAGAAAATGAAAATGAAAAAAAGGAAGTATCCTACAGTGTCTAGATTATTTTGTTCTCATTACTTGAATTTTTTACGCCTTGGTGGTTCCGCTCTAATTAGAAATGGCAACACAGTTACATTTAACATTCGAAATGGTGTCTATATGAGCTGAGCCACTGAGTTAGCATAAGTTCAGTGAGGAGACTTGCAAACAAAATTGGGGCAGCAGATTTAAACACGCACAAAATATTGAATCATAATATAAACAGCCCGTTTGGGGAGCAATTTTATGGTTCAAAAAATTGATTTTTTGATTGTTATTTCACTATTTCAACCGTCATATTTGACTTATTCTCTTACAGATGGATTTCATTTTTCTTCTAACTGTCCAAAAATCAATTCTCAAAATCACTCCCAAACAGACTCTACAGTATATGAGTAAATTACGTTATTTGCATAATTAGATTGGACCAAACTAGAATTGAATGTTTCGGTTCGGTTCTAATTTCTATTAAGTGTTAAAAATCGAGAATTCACCAATTTGTGGGATCTTGATTCTAATATTAATAACATAAAAACTCGGTTTTTAACCCGAAAATCTTGTTTTTCATTTTAAAAGATGGTGGTGCAATTATCCAAGCATTTTGCTTTTTCTTTTGAACTTAATAGTAAGTCAACTCATGTTCAATTCTTTATGGTGTTATAAACCTAGACATATGAATTATTTGAACATATTACGGAAGATTTAGATAATTAAATAACTACAGTTTAAGTGCCTTTATAGTTAACCACTACATTTATTTGATTACTGATTCCAAAACTTCAATTGAAGGAATCGAAATGGATTGAACCAAAGTCAAAACCGAATCGAACGATTGTATTTCATACTTAGCGATCGAATCAACTATTTCATTTTTCAAATACTTGTTATTACTCGGTTCGATTCAGTTCTCGATTTCGATTCAGTTCTTGAGGAAATCGAATCTCGATTACCCATATTTAAAACCAAATCAAACCAATTTAATTTGGGATTTTATAACAAACAATGAGTTCTCGATGAATAGACCAACCACTTCTGGTCCTGTACAACAGTCTACTCTCTTATGTAAACAAAACATCCAAGTTCTATTAGAAATTCAGCCGTTGTACTTTAATTTCTGAGCAGAGCTCAAATATAAATTTGTAACGAGATGGTGAAGATATTGTTGCAAAGAATAATAATTGAACCATAAATTGAAGAAAAATAAAAACAGCAACAAAAAACCTACTTGATATTAAAAAAAAATAAAAAAAAAAAAAATTATATAACAAAATGAACTACCATGGCATTCTGTAGTTGATGAACTGCAATAATTCAACAGAATATTTTCGGGTTTGACAGTTTAAGATTGGATTTCAAAAAAGAATAGAGAGGTAAGTCCAACAATAGGTTCATCGATTCATATGAATGAAAATACATTCCATCTCATTGGAAAATGAAGCTATAAGGGTCCATTGCTATATAGACAGAGATTACATAGCATTTGGTGAAGTAATAAATGGCGCAAATACTTAATTAACATGTTGCTGACCAACTAAAAATGGCCACAAAGTATCATTCAAAAAAATTGAGTTTGAAATATTACAATAAATCATATAACAAAGAGGACATAAGGTACTGATTTCGGCCACAACTCTCTCTTCCTCAAAACCAAAGCAATTAGTTTGAGGCCTTACTTAAACGAGCTCTGAAGTAGGCCGGAGATTGGCAATTTCAGGTCATGTGTCAATCTCTGAAGAACCTGTGCTAATAAGTGCACGTCTGATAGGGCTCTATGCGCCGAACCAACCAATGGAATATCGTAGTATTCCCCAAGGGCTGGTAAAGATACTTTTGATGGAACTTTGGATCCTGGTGGCAACATTTAAACCAACTTAGCTATAAAAATGCATAAGCATTTATGATCACACGTTTTGAGCAAATGAGAGAGGGGAAACCTTTAGATTTCATCACTGCATGAGCCAGTGGAAGGGTGTCGATGAACAACCAGTCAGGAGGAATCTCGCAAGAGCAGCGACTGAATTCTCTTTTCAAAAAGGGGACGTCAAAAGTGCGAGCATTGTGAGCAATTAAAACCACAACTCCACCAGGTATCTGGCGGCTTTGGATATACTTCAGTAACAGAGGAATCAGCTGCTTCATACTACAAAGGAATTGTTTGGAAAAGCTTATTTCATTTAACTTATAAGCAAAAACATAAACCAATTATAACTCAAATGTGAGCATTTCAATTTGAAAAAATTTCAGACATCAGTCACACACAGACACAGAAAAGCACAAGGTATTTAAAGGTTCATACACAGAATCCCATGCAGGTAGATCAGAAAGGCACTATTTTTACACAATGATCTATACAACATTAACAATTTCTGTAATTAAAATACCTGGGAACATCAGATCTGTTGACCATATTGCTTGAAATACCATGAATGTTTGTATTTGGCACATAACGTCCCGGATTCACTAGAGTTTGGAAAGTACTGTTTTTTCCTCCTCGTAGATCTTGAAAGGCAATCTCAATAACGCGATCTTTCTCTCTGCCAAATCCAGTAGTTTCAATATCAAAAGCAATAATTGTTACAAGCCTTTCCAAGTCTTTGTTGTCAGCAATCTTTTGTGAAACATAAGATTGACTTCTTTTCTGTTCAGTTGTTTCCAATGCATATGTATTTAACTTAATGCTACTTGTTTCTTCTGACATTTCATGTCTGAGACTAGTTTTGCTGCTCATGGTGTCATTTTTTCCTCCTGTTTTCGTATTTACAGATCTTCTAATCCACTTCCGACAATATCCTCCTTCAAGCTCATATTTGTGAGAACCAAGAACCTCTACGCTGGAATTACTGACACTATCCCTACCTAACTTGTATAAACTTCCCCGCCAAGAATTAGTTAAGGTGTGAATTTTGCATCGAGGAATTTGCAATACAGAGAAGCACATTGCAATTGTTTTCGTTGGAACCCAAGAACAACCTCACTACCACGTCCGAAGGGGAGAGAATATGTAAAATAGCTTAACCTGCAGACGATGTCGTAACAAATATTAAACAAATGCTTAATTCAGATGCCAACATAATTTAAAATAGTGCTACCAAAATTTCACTTGGCAAATTGTTCCAAGCTGTTCATCATCATATAATAAGCTAATCATTCAGACAGCATTTTTTATCAAAAAGTGGCTTGCCTGAATTAACTGTTTGTAAACTAAGTTTACTGCAATTTTAGGAGGAAAACAAACAGAATCCCGTAGAGCAAGGAATATTGTTTGAATTACTGGAGGAGTAAAGGTCTCAATGACATCTAAGGATCTTCATAATGGACTAATATAAACATGAGGTGTTAAACACAGTGAATAGCAAGCACATTATCAACCACATTTTGCATTGAAGCACTGTTGAATTGAAATGGCTTAATTATGCTGAATATCCATTGTCACATAGATTAGTTCTAGCATGCTGCAATCTGTCCACTAGCATAATTTTATTTTCAGGTTCATTGTGTTGGGTAGCATAGTAATATTAAGACAATATACTTTGATCACTATGACAAGTAATCTTTGTCTTCATTAGTCTGAAGAACTACTAGAACCTATGATGCTCAGACTCGGGTAGGATACAAGTACGTACCTAAATGTTGAATTTTTTATTTTTTAAAATGCAGGATATGGGAATATGGCTAAAAAAGTCCAAATTTCGGACACGAGTACGTGGTTACGCCTTTCAAACTTCAATTTTTTTCTAACCCAAGATGTCATTTTGAATAGACCAAAAACAATTATTCACAAAGAAAGAAACAAGTATTAAATAAGGGGTTAAGACAAATAAAAATAGAATTTTGGGATTTAGTTTTCAGTTATGGTAAATTAAGTACTAAATGTTATATAAAATAGAAAATAGGGGACTTGATTGCAATTTAAACAAAGTGGAGCACTAAGCAGTACTATATGGAACTTATTTTCATTTTATACAAACAAAACTCTAAAGCATCAACATAGAGGGGAAAGGAAGGGAACAAATGAAAAAATGGGAAACAAAAAAGAAGGAGGAGGAGGGAAAAGCTAAGGCCGTCACCATTCTCTATTCTCTCGGAGGCGGCGTTAGGTTTATACAGAGCAAAAAGGGAAAGAAAAGGAAAAAAAAAAAGCAAAAAGGGCGACGTGTCCTATTTAAATTTGAAGGATCCAACACATATCCTATACCCATGTCATGTCGTGTCCAACATAGGTACACCGACCATTTTGAAGAGTCCGAGCATCAAAGGCTAGAAATGTGAGTACAAGCACCTTAAATCACGTGTTCAAAATAATTGCATAACGAAACAAGAAAGGGCTGTGAATATTGAGTTACTAAAAAGTACACAGTTCAATCAGGTGCCATTAGAAAAAGGGAAACGGCTGTTTTCCACATTCATATATGACCTGCTTCATCTCTAACACCAAAACAGCCTGCCTTGTACCCACAAAAATCCTTTTCAACCTATGGCACAAAATAAACCCACAAAAATCCTTTTCAACCTAAGGCACAAAACAGATCCTGGCTAATTCGCAGGTGATTCCCTGTTAAAAGTGGTTAAGAAAATACTTTCTGAACCAAAACTGAAGCACCGAAGGATAAGTCTAGATGATTTAGATTAATTGTATTCCAATGGATTATAGGAAATTAATGCACCCTGTACTCAGAACTCTACCATCTAAATACAATCCTAAATGAATACCCAACTGAATACCATTACCAACTTGTTCTTTCCTGAGTTCAACCACCAAATATGAGGTGGGTATTTATGTTTTTGTACTGAAACAATTGAGGATTGAATAGATTCAAAAATTCAACTCTGGTTCTAGCATCCAGATCCCATGAACATAAGGGCAAATTATTTCTGGGAAGCCAGTACAAGATAATCTATAAGAATATTCTGCAAGAAATGGCTGTGGAAAAAGAACTATTTGTAATTAAAACCTTCCAAATTCTTCAATCCAACTAGTTTCTAATGCATATATAATGTGCTCTTGGCATATAAATCAACTATCAGAGTGCAATTACAGAACGACTAACTCGTCCATATAGCACAGAGAAAAAGATTCTTGTTTATGCTAATATATAATTTCAGGCACTGTTTCTACATTTCAAGACACCTCTCACTGCAATTTTCCGTTACTAAAACCTGCAGGCTGCGCCTTGATAAGTATGCTCAACAGAAACGGTGCTATTTGGCCTAGTAAAGGATATATCATGTGCAAGTGAAAAGTTGTTTGCTAAAAACTTTTCGCTGAGCAGTAAGTTCCGTTACAGCTGAATATGTGTACAAATCCAAAAATCCCTTTACTCTTGAAAAAATGACAAAAAGTAATTTAAAAGTTACAGTTAACTGGATATTCTCAAAGCAAATAAGCCAAGAGGTAAGACAGAATATTAGGGTATCAAGGTAAAAATACCCAAAAAAAAAAAAAAAAAAAATTTAAGGTGGGATAGAAGTGCTACACAAGAGACTAGAAACAGTCATAATTAGCATAAGAGTTTCTCAACTGCAGTCTTTTTCTGAAAGTCACATAGATCATCAATACCCAAATTCTCTTCAAATTATTTCCTATAGCCTAAAAAATAGTGCGCATATGTCAAAACAGAAATCTCATTTTTAAGTCATCATCAAATCCTCAATACAGAATCTTTGGGCTGCAAAAGAAAAAACTATATTGTTCATTCACTTCTTCAATCAGTTTTCTCTCTTATGCTCATTCATCAACGCGTGAACTCTTGTCATTCAAAATATCCCAAAAGGTAGTGACATTAAACATCTCCCTATAATCATCAATCAACTAAACTATCCTAATCAATGAAGAGTTAACTTCATTCTAAAACCTACACTCTGTGTAATCATTTTTGAACTTCAAATCCAAGGGTCAATTGTGTTTCCATCCTCCATTCTATCTATCTTATTGGTTATAGCTAAACAAGAATTCTATTTGAAAATCAGTTGCACGAAAAGGTTACGAAGCTCCATTTGCAACCAGGAATTTGAATGAGCAGAGTATCAAACAAGAGTCATGCAAGAATGACATCATTCATGTCTAAAACTGTTTGAACTACCAATAAAGTCTCCAATTTGTGAACAAAACAAAAAATAAGAGAAAAAAGAAAGAGTACAAACGTAGACTAATAACTCATATTATTGGCCTTAAACAAATGATAACTTCAGAAACACCTTAAAGGATGGTAAACCATATCGTAAGAGTGATTATGGTCAAAACTTTAATGCCCAGTACTATAAACCATACCCGGGGGGGGGGGGGGGGGGGGGCCAAAAAAAAAAAAACAAAAC